CTTTAAAAACGAAATTGGTCAAGTACAAGTCGGGCTCGCATATAAAGAGTTCCGAAGCTTCTTCCATTTTATCTTAGACTGTGTGTGAGTGTGCAATTCATTTTGATACATAAGAAAGATCCTTTTCTTTATATAGGTTAATAAAAAATGTAGGTCAAGTTAGTCATGCCGTATTTAACATATAAAAATAAAAATGTTATCTCTGGTTTTATATACTACTAGCATTGTCCCCGGCTCCGCCCGCGTTCAGATGACAAAAACCAAATACTTAGGTTTTACAAATTAGTATACTCTTACATTGAAGTTTTTGTATTTTTTCTCAGAAATGAGATATTTTCCCGCGGTAAAAAGTATCCTATATGTTGCCCCGGATAACCAGCTATCACCATACCAATTTCATCAAAATCTCTCCAGTGGTTTTTCTGTGATGCGGTAACAGACAGACAGACAGACAAAAATTCTAAAAACTATAGATTCAGCCTCTGTATCGATAATAATGTTTATTTCAATAAGATTTTCCAAAAAATATTTAATGTACAGATTCGGCTTAGTTACAATTTTATTATGTGTATAGATAATTTACATACATAATTCCGTTCGCTATCTATATCCATTTTTTTTTTGATTTCTTAGAATTTCTATCAATTTTTGGTTTATTAATAGTGTTATGCTATTTTTTAGTGTACAACTAACACAACTATCTAAACTACCTATATTTTAATTAATAAAGTTATAATAAAAAGCTTTAGAATCTATAATATTATAGATATTGTTGTTTTAATAAGTTATACGTATTTTCAAAACATAATGCCCCACAATATTTACAGCTCCCATAACAACATGAGAAATAGCTAGATGAATATAACATTATATTTTAATATGTAAGGACATCCAAAAATGGAAAAGCTTCATGGACAATTTATTAATATTACAAACTAGCGACTTGCTCTCGGTTTGCTCGGGCGTGTCCCTTTATTTGTAATATTATGTACAGACAGCGCCATCTTATTGCAAATTTGATTACTAACTAAATTTCGTGATTGCCGTTTCAGCGTGAAACATACACGTATACAAATTTTCACATTTTTAATAGCGATGTGATCCTTAGAACTGGTTATTTGCCTGTTCTTCTTCAACAAAGCAACGGATCTACGTGACTTTTGGACAGTACCGGAAATGCATAGAGTAGGTACTTCTTAGACCAGTGCAATGTCAGGTGTTTCCTGTCAGGTCTGTTGGAAGTAATTAAGAAATTGTTTATGGACATGACTGAGTAAAGCAAGCGCACATCACCAGTATTTTAATAAAAAAAACGTAAAAACGCTGCGTGTTGTCTAAATTGTTATGATTGGTAATATTTTACATAATGTACGTAACGCTCAGAACCTTGAAAAGCAGCTGCTTTTTTGTAGATTATTTGCTGTTGAAACTACTCAGATCATATTTCTATAAAAACTTTAAAATAAAAATGAATAATATCTATTGTAAAACTATATAACTACTATTGTGGTATACTATGACCTGATCTTCCACGCATTGAAGTTAGACCCGTGCTACGTTAAAAAGGGCTGATTATTCTCATAGAACACGATTCTAAAATATTGGTCGGTATATACAATATAGGTTAGAGTGATGCGGAAACTAAAGGACTGACAAAATGTCTTAAAATTTTAATATTTAATGTTCTTTTTCTAGCAATCACAATGGGTAGACATTTTATGCACCGTTCAACTCTTCTCACTCTTCTCAATCTAAATAATTCCAAATGAAAAATGTTATACAGCTTTATATTACATTTGAATATATTTGTAAATAACTGCAACATTTCTGTATGTGTGCTGATATGCTATAAGTTAGTCTAATTGTGTTAGCAGTATCCAGTGGCGACGTTAATATAGCTAGCTAGCTACATGGAAGCTACGAGTATACGCCCGCAGTTAAATGTCAAAGTTTCACATACGTAATTTCTCTCTCGGGACTCGACAATGCTTTTCAAAGTTACTCATACTATTTGCATAATTAGGTTATAGGTGTACTAGTTCGAGCTAGAAACTGGTTCATGTATCTATTCGATAGATCATATTATGTATTATTATAAGTAGTTAAGGAATTCTATACAATTTACAATATTAAAACACCATTTAAATGCTAAAAATTTAATGCAATATAGCTGTTTTTCCTTAAAAATGCTAAAGTTATGCAAATACCGAAATCTATTTATGTTATATCACTAACTGACAGAGGTATCTCTGACGTCAGCGCGGTGACAGATGACGAGGCCAAGACGTCGTCATCAGTGTGAAGATAAATAATCAAACACAATTTCGTACAAAAGTTTAATTCGTTACAGTACTTTGAAAATTATTTAAATTATTTATTTAAGGCATAATAATTATAGAAGTTAAACATAATAATATTAGTGATTTAATCATATTTAAATGTGATATATACATTTACCATGTTCCTGTTGCAACAGTTGGTCGAATCGCAACACATAACTTCATGCTTTATCCTTTACCGAGTAGCCAAAAATAATAATATTATGATGACGACCGCTATTGGTGGACCAAATTACACTACCCCAAAAAAGATTATTCCTATATCTCATATGCATTTATATTACACATGTAATGAAGTTTGACAACCATCTGGCGCAGTGTTTGGCACTGGCTACTGTAGGTACCTATCGGGAAAAACGGATACGACCCTGTACGTGTGCCGTGTACGAGATAGTTGTTTGCTTTGTCCATACCTACATGTTTGTCTTCTTAAGACGACGATAGTGGTCTTTTCAAGTATTTTTCTGTATAGATATAATCTATGAATGTCTAAAGCTATATATTTCTCCATTAATTTTAATACTTTTGCACTAATCTATACATATAATAAAATTGTAACTAAGTCGAATCTGTACATTAAATATTTTTTGGAAAATCTAATTGAAATAGACATTATTATCGATACAGAGTCCGAATCTATAGTTTTTAGAATTTTTGTCTGTCTGTCTGTCACCGCATCACGAGAAAACCACTGGATAGATTTTGATGAAATTTGGTATGATGATAGCTGGTTATCCGGGTCAACATATAGGGTACTTTTTACCGCGGGAAATTATCTCATTTTTGAGAAAAAATACAAACACACAAAAACTGCATTGTAAGAGTATACTAATATGTAAAACCTAAGAATTTGGTGTTTGGTTATCTGAACGCGGGCAGAGCCGCGGGCAATGCTAGTAACATATATTACCTGTAATCAAGAGACAAACTAAAGCTCAAATTCAAAGGTTATACTAGAAGCCACTAAAGAGTAACAATATGTACTTAGGTCTATCGTCAGATTAATTCAACAGTATCAAATTATTGAATTGTCATCCGGATTTCATATAGAATAAGCTTAAATTGACTCCCAAGATTTAATTTAATTAACAGTAAAGCTAATAAAATCGTGTTAAATGTTTACTTAGGGATGCCCCTGATCATAATATCGGGTTAACATAAATAATACCTAAGAATATTTATTACAATTTGCTCAAGTAATATCCTACATTTTTGTTGCCAAAGCTATTCATATGGTTGCCAACTGGATAATCGCTGTATTGTTGTTTTACCGCATTAAAGACAAAAGCTATATATATATATATATATATATATATATATATATATATATATATATATATATATATACGTAGGAACACTTATGACTAATACCAGTCACGTGTTCAATTTAAATTGCATATATCTTTATTTTTATTTTTCCAACTAGCATTGCCCGCGGCTCCACCCGCGTTTACATGACCAAAAACCAAATTCTTAGGTTTTACATATTAGTATACTCTTACATTGCAGTTTTTTTATTTTTCCTCAGAAATGAGATATTTTCCCGCGATAAAAAGTATCCTATATGTTGACCCGAATAACCAGTTATCATCATACCAAATTTTATCAAAATCTATCCAATGGTTTTCCCGTGATGCGGTAACAGACAGACAGACAGACAGACAGACAGCCAGACAGACCAAAAATCTAAAACTATAGATTCGGCCTCTTCATTGATAATAATGTCTATTTCAATAAGATTTTCCAAAAAATATTCAATGTACAGGTTCGTCTTAGTTATAATTTTATTATATCTATGGATTACTACATATTGACTAAACTTATACAGAATTCTACAAGAAGCCTCTTCATAGTTTTAATTTTGTTTGTATAAAATCTATTTTCCTATGTTATATTATAAATTTTTGTATATAATGTACCTTAGACTAAATTACGGTCACAATATAAAAAGTGATGTCGACTGTTAAAATATAAAATCAAATTCAAAACTAAATAATTAGAGTTTACAACTTTGTTTTTTCCCTGTAACAGGAAGGCTACCGGCCAAATGGTTGGTTTGACCTCAAGCTGTAAACATTTGCATATACCAAGGACACTTGACGAATATTCACATCTGTTTGAACCAAATGTTAACATTTACCCTGCCACGATGACATATTTGACTTTTTAACTTTTTTATCTACTTTAACATACAATCTAATATATAACATTTTCGTGTCACAGTGTTGGTAACAAAACTCCGAAATGGCTTGACCGATTCTTATGAAAATGATTTTTTTTACGATTTAGTAGTTAGATAAGGGAAATAGAGTATAATCAAATCTTAAAATTTAATAAAGTAATAGGTACATAATGCAACTTAAAACTTATTCATATAAATTATAAATGTTTAACTTAATATTACTTTATATCGTTTTATAACAAATAAATGTTGATAAAACTGATATAAATAAATGAATACGGAAAAACACTCAATGTAACCACTACTGGGTTGTCCTGTTCCGCAAAACCACCCAAACATCCAAACCGCGACAAATACTTATATAACAATAAGTTGTACGATTTTAGATATTTACCATTTAAAACATATAACTATGCATTTACCTAATATTGCAACTATCACAGGTGAATGTAATTAACAAATAATAATATCGTTTCCAGCCATACGAGCGAGCTAACCTCGCAGATGCTCTCCTGCCCCGCACCCTGATCGATGGCGAGCTGATCATCCGTCAGGGTGACACCGCCGACGGCATGTACTTCGTGGAGGACGGCTCGGTCAGCATCCGTATTGCGCGAGATGACGGGAATGAACATGAGATCAAGCGTCTTGGTGAGTGTGACCTAAGTCTGCCACAAATGTAATTATTTATAGGCAGGTACTATAGCTACTATAGTATAGAGTAGCCTATCCCTACAAATCACATAATTTCGTTACATTTGACACTGCTACTAAGCAGTGACAGATGAAACTTAGTATCGTGCTCACTTGGATATTCAAGTCGTTTCAAACCTATTTTTCTAAATAATTTCAACTTGACTTACGACGAAGAACTAATTTCTTTAGGACATTTAAAGTCCGCTAACCCAAACTTGGTCCACCACGGGCCACTGCCTCGTATTGACATAAGGCCCATGTTGAATACCTATGGGATTTTTCATTTATTTATTTATTGAAATTTCAGTATATATATAGCAAAAACAGTTACCTATAATAAACGAAATTACAACAAAATGTCAGGGATGTCAAAATGACAGAGTAATTATTATTGTAATTAGCGTACGTGGTTAAATTTGATACTGCAGATAAAAACAAAAACACCTCAAAGGAGTCACAGTGTTAAATGAAACGATGAAATCTGTTTATGAAAGTCAGAATAATTGATTTATTATTTTGTTCGCCGGGATTATTCCGGATATGTATAATTTATTTGTTGTTTTTTTTTTTATATAATAAATATTTATTCTGTAAATAAACTTCACAACGCACGGACTGATCTTATTGATCAGAAAATGATCTGTGGCGTTATATTTTTCATATTTTGGTTTTATAAACTTTCGCATTCATAAAATAGTACGATTATTATTGTTATTGGCAGTGGTAGCCCAGTGATAATACGCTCGTATATGAAACTATGTGAAGCGGGTTCAAATCCCGCGTCTCGCACCTCTGATATTTTCATGTGCGAATCATTTCCACTTGTCTTTCGGCTTTCGAAAGACGTGAAGTCCGCCTACCCGAACTTGGCAGCGTGGTGGACTATGGCCTGATCCCTCTTAGATTGAGGAGACCCGTGCCCAGCAGTGGGACGTTAAGAAAAAGTGCTGAATACACTTTATAATTGTTAGTACCGAATAACTATTACTTTGCCCTCGAAAACCGTTCCAAAAAGTGAAGTAGCTTTTAGTATCTTTTTGTAATGTCAAAATAACAGTTTTTTACTAAAAGCATATGGAATTATATACGGTATTTATAAGAAAAACACAATTTTTAATTTTTTTGTCTCTGTCTGTTTTTTCCGGCTAACCTCCGTAACGGCTGGGCCGATTTTGACGGGACTTTCACTGGCAGGTAGTTGATGTTATAAGGAGTAACTTAAGTTACTTTTTTTTCAGTAAAATAATTTGGGTTCCGCTCAAAAAAAAATGTACTTAAAGACGAACCCGAGCGCAGCGAGAGTGAGTCGCTAGTGCATAATATAAAAAGTAGCATAAAATAGGAAAATTGGTTAATATGTGAAATGTTGCTGCAGGCAAAGGCGGGTACTTCGGCGAGCTGGCCCTGGTCACCCACAAGCCCCGCGCCGCCTCCGCTTACGCTGTCGGACCCACCAAAGCCGCATGTGAGTATATGTACTGTGTTTTATCGTCCTCTCCTAATCTTTTTGCTTATATTTTTATTTGGAAATGTTATTTTTTAGTTGTTAAATATTTTGTTGAGTTTTAGTAACATGTGAACTTCATAAACGAAATGACTACAAATATATTATTAAATGCACTAAGCAGATGAGCGTAAGACTATCATACTCCGAATCTTGGACTATAACACAATAAAATTCCAGTCCTCGACGTGGAAACGTTCGAGCGCCTTCTCGGGCCCTGCATGGAGATAATGAAGCGCAACATAGACGACTACGAGGAGCAGCTGGTCAAGCTGTTCGGCGACAAGAGCAACCTCACCGACGTGCGATGAACTGCCCGCCGCGCCCCCCGCTACCCCCCGCCTACTGATGTAATCCACTCCTAACGGACGGACTTGTTGATTTCCTTCAATTTATATATACAGTAACCGTCGGTAAATGATGCACATCGAGCTAAAGAGGGAGAAAATCGGCTAATTTCGGTTTTGTAGAGCGTCGTCTCTGTCACTCAGTACATTATGTCAAGTTCCCAGTAGACACCGGACTGTTTGTGCTCCGTGCGACAGAGATGATGCTCTACGAAGCCGAAGCTAGCCGATTGTCTCCCTCTTTAGCTCGATGTGCATTATTTACCGCCGGTTACTGTATTTACATGTTTATTTCATATGTTTATCTATATGCAATGAGATTCAGGTGAGAATAGAATTTTCTGTTTTGAAAATGAGAATTTATTTTTATTTATATTTATCTGTTACTTGGGATTTCGATTGATTTTATATTCAAAAATAAGATATTTTTTTTGTGAACGGTACTTTTCAAACAACAGCTGTCAAGACAATTTGAACGTTTTTATTCTTGTTTGGATTTCCTTTTATAGTTTTATTTTTCAATATATATTTTCTTATTATTCATATTGATAGAAACAGGCTTTTTTTGTCTGGATTTTAATAATCCAAGCCTATCAAGGTGACGGCGTGGTCAAATGACTTTTATCAATATGTTTAAAAAAAATATTAGATATGTATTTACTTTATGTATATAAATTGTTAAAATTTCTTATTTATAAATAACAAATTTACCTTATAAGTTAGGTTGATAACTATTAAATTTCAAGTTATATTTCATTTATGGTTTTATGTTAATAAATTATTCTTTATTTACAATGATATGTCCCATTTTATGTATATTATAATATTCAGTTTCCATATTTAATTTGAAATTTATAATTGAATTTTAATGCTGGCTGAAAAGATAGACAATTTATTAATTTAATTACTAACGGTGAATATTGTGAATGGCAACACTTACTTAATTTTTTTCAGCCAGTTTCTTGAGATAATGCTGTTAAAATTACTAATTATTTATTTTACTTTAAATAACAGCTATATCTCGAATCCAAGTATTGTCTTATTCACTTTAAACTTTTGAAACGAATAAGTGCCATTTTATGTTAACCTGATTAGTGATTACGTTAGAAGGAAGGGGGCAAAAACTAAACTGTGAAGACCGGATAATATTGCACTGAAACAATAATACGCTTATTTTAGATAGATAAAATGCCTTAGTAGCTATGTAAATAAAGATACTGGCATTTGTCATTGAACTGATCGTAATGGATTCGAATGTTTATAATTATGGGCTCACAGCTGAAAAATTTAAAAGAAATATATGATTAAAGCCTCATATTGTTTATTTCTTTTATTGTTGATTTTTATAGTATCATAAAAAATTTTGTGGAGTAAAATTGCTCAAGATTATTAGTGAAATATTCAATATAATTGAATTATTTTTTTCATATAATTGTGATTTTATCTAAAGATGGTGGTCTGCGGTCAGTTTGGGAGTGACAATGAAGGTATCACTTCATGGTAGATGTATACTGGGAATGGCATTTAGTCTTTAAAATTTATCACTAAAAATGTTTTAGTAGAACAATGCAATACTGTCCGGCCTTCCGTCCTATCTTACATTAGGATACTCTGCTATCGCCATTTTATATTTTTTAAGGTCACTGACACGGCTTCGATCATACAAAATTAATATATTCATATAAAATTAATATATTCAGTGATTAGATAAAATCTTATCACTTTATTTATTTGATTCATTGTTTCTACATTTATGTATATCAAGAATGGTTATTTAAATCAGTTTGTAAATGCCAAATTAATGTTTGTGACTGTAATTATTATGGGACGATGCGGATTTACTGTTGGCATTCAATTATGGACTTAATATTGCTGTAGCAATTGAATTCAAAATCTATTTATGATTAGAATGCGGTTTGAATACATTTATGTATAGAATTGAGGTTTTGAGTTTCAATTATAATAGCAAAATTGTCTCGCAAGATTGTTTTGTTTTGCCTACAAATAAATATATACTGGTTTTATTGAAATATTTACTTTCATCAACTTGGTATATTTTATTGAGAAAGTGCAGTTTGCTTGTGTTGTTTAGATGCGTTTTTTAATATTTTTTTTGTAGAGGGTTTCTATAGTTTCGTCCCTAAATATTACATAATAGATCTGAGGTGTGTCAATCGTTGTGTATTGATATAAACTAAATAGCCTGTAATTGTGGTTCGGAAATCTGTTGTCAGTACTTCGGTTAGATCTGAATAATTTAAAAATAATGTAACACATTTGATTCATAGCCCAAATTAACTATCTATTGAATTGTATCAATATCTAAGAATCCATCATATTGGACAACTATCTAATAATAACCGAACTACAGATAGCAGATTATTTTAAGATACTCTCAACATTTAAAATACAAATCTAGTTCTGTATGAATGTGTATTTTCAGGCTTAAAAATGTGAGTGGATGTTAATTATCGCTAACCCTCAGATAGGTCCCCAGTATTATTTAATTTAAAAAAAAATTATTCATTCATTTGTAAATCCAGCCAAAGTAGATGTATACATATTATAAATGATATGTAGCACTATATTTAAGTCTTATATTTACATGTGGTAGTTAGTTTTTGTCACTTCTTATTGTAATTTAAATATTTGTAGATTAGATAATGAATGGTTCAGTCAGTACTGAGGGGTGTGGTGTTTTAACGCCATGTACAAATTGTGTACAAATTGTTTCAGTTGCCATAGAAGATTTTATTGTTTTATTTTAAATGATGATGACGATGATGTGGGTTTTGTTTTCATTGTTATACTGTTCTCAACTTTCCACTGGGAAGATTGTGCAATGGCGATGGGCGATTATGTATGCGTGTGAATTAGGTAGCGGTAGGATAGTTCAATGATGGGAGTCAGGTTTTAGCAAAATAATATTAATATCGAATAAATTTACAAGTATAATTCATAATCGCTCACCGCTAAAATATATCATATCGATGTGTTCGTCCATAGTTCTCGATGCTTGCTTGTGAATTAACAATTTCAATGCGACAGGGTTTCGTTCCTCATAGCTTATACATTCCCCCGTTGCTAATATCAAAGTTTATGAATATCTTTATTTTTTTGTTATCGAGTTCATTGTTTTGAATATGTATGTCCATTGTCCATGTTGCAATAGAAACTCATTTCAAGTGCCTATTTCGATGCATCTGATGAATTTCAATACACTAACTTGTATTATTAATATCGTATTTTGACTCACTGAACTGCCTTTTCTACGTGGTCTTGTGTAATGTAAGGTGTGTGTCGTGTTACTTGAAAAGATTGAAAACGTAATAAATCTTTAGTCTCTTTGATGAAATTATACCACCATGTTTTACAATAACGATTAAAATAAAAACTAATTTTGTTTATATTCATTGATTAATATTATTATATATGTAAATTTTAACAAAGCATGTTGTCACCAGTGACCATGAGAATAATCAGCCGGACTGATTATAGAATTTTTTTAGAACAGATTTATTTATTATAAAATATACAAGTTGTACCTATTTATGCAGAGTAACGTATGAAGTCTATGCATCCTATAAAATAGTTTGTGAAGTGTGCGGAATGAGGTTTTCCCTTCTATGATACATATTTATGAATTTTATGAAATATTACTGCGTAAGAGATTGAGTGAGGAGCTACTAAAAAATATTATTAGATTGACTCTACCATACGTTAGTAGTTTGTGACACACATGCCCCACTCTTAGAATATACGGTGTTTATATCAATGTCTTCTTACCATTTAAATATTTTCAGTGGGTTCTCGGTTAATGCAGTGGTAAATAGTTTGTTGTTTGTTGTGTACAGGTGAGGTGCGTCACGTGTCGCACCGTCTCGTCTGTGTGTCCCCTTATATACACCCGGTAGATACTAGATACATAATAAAGATGGGCGATTTAGAATAAGCATTAAAAAACAATGTATAAACAGAATGCACTTTTAATACGTGTTCATTGAATATTTTTAAATCGCCTATCTCTATTGAATACTTTATTGTATTGTGCAATAATTACTGTCATTTGTCGTTTACATGGATATCATGATAAATTATGTCAGTGTGGAATTTATTTATAGAATTAAATTATTAATGATAGCGTAAGATTTAATATTTTCTCTTTATACTGATGTTAATGTCCTAACGCATCAACTAGGAGGCTATACAGCTGTTACTGTACAATAAATTTATTCGCGTGTCCTGTTCTTTAGCACAAACGTTTGGTTCGACGCGTATGAAAAGTGACTCAAATTCTGTTGTCTTCCAACGGGACGCACAGAAACTACGCCAACGCCTTTATGACTTGTTTGGGGCTATTATCTGGCAATTTGATGTGAAATTGAAATTCAATACGCTTATACGTAGCGTGATTTTTTATAAATAACTAGTCATCGGTGTCTAATGTAGATTTGTAACCTGACAGCACGTTGATTCGAACATTTCTTATGTAATTCATGTTAGCGTAAGTCATATTTGTTCCATATTAAAGCATATCAAGCGGTCGTCCGCCGTCATGTCCTGAATTGCATCGTACTATACATCCAGTAGCCAGTCGGAACTAGTGCCGCTTTACCCACGTCATGAGCTTACCCTGTACATTAATAAAAATTATGTATCGTAAAATGTTAGAAAACTGAATTATATTTGTTTGTAGATCTAAATTGCTGTTTGTTTTCACCCTTCCTCTTGGTCTCTTGACTATTAGCTTATACGTATGTTACTATTAGCTTAAATTTTATTTATATTCATCAACAATCCTTAGGTATAAGTTATTAAATTATTGATGATGTAATTTTTATTTAATAATAGCGAGTCGCCCTCGCTTCGCTCGGGTTCGTCTCTAGCTTTCTTCCCAATACAAACTTTCATCCCTTTTTTCACCACCTTAAGATGATTTCCGTGATAAAAAGTATGCTATATCATTCCCAGGATCTCAAACTATCTTCTTACCAATTTTTTTCTAAATCGGTTCAGTAGATCCAGACATTATCCCCTACAACATCACAAACTTTACCTCTTTATAATATTAGTATAGACTAGCAGAACCCGCGGCTTCGCCCGCGTTCAAACTTACAGAAAAAAAACACTGTCGTTATATTATAACTAATAATTTGATGGCTGTTATCATTTTCAGTTGTTTCAGTGTTGATGAATCAGTCAGGACAATTTTATATAGATATATATAGATATTTTGACAATTTATAATTGAAAACAACATGTAAGAGTAATATGAATTTTAATATTTATTATTATTCACTGAACACACCATAATTTTTAATTAATTCATTATTTATATAGGTTCTGGCTCTCTACTGTAGACTTGCATTATTTTTTCCATTATTTCCCAATTCTTTTCTTTCTGCAAATCCTTTGTGAATACCTTAAAATAATAAAAAAAATTGTTAATGGTTTTATTTCTATATAATTGGCTATTGAAAATTATCAATTAAAGGAAAAGAGGATGCTAGATATAAAAGATTGAAGTCTCATATTTTTATTTTTCATTCCTATAAAATTAATAAAATATATTACTCACAGAGTACCAAGCAGCATCATCATCCAATGTAGATGCCAAAGGTACCGATACCCCCAACACATGTAAAGCTAAAGTCAGACAAGCAACTGCAACGTGTGGGGCTCTGTAATCCAATATTGATGGACAATGATGAAAGTCCTGCAAAAAAGCCATCGCAGTGCGAGCTATAGGTGCCGATCTCCACTGAGTTGGGGGGAACCACTCCTGGAGCGACCTCAGGTAATGAAGTAAATATCTATGTGCTGATGGTGCATCCAAATTGAAGCCTAGTAGGCGCAGTACAAGAAGTTCTGCCTGTGCAACAGCCCCTCTCCACGACCAGTACTCTTCAGATAACTCTAATGGTCCAGCTCCACGGTTAATTGAGTTATGAGCTACATTGACTGCGTCTCGTAACCTAACTGGCTCATCGCGAGATTTTCCGGCAGCGCAGAGACAAGCTGTGCAGATCACATAACAATCGTAGTCATTTTTATCGGCCTCTTTAAAGAATTTGTGGTAAAATATTGCAGCAGTAGCAACTGTAGCCGGTTGTAGTCCTAGTTTAATGCCACACTCAAATATAAAATTCGTTGCTAGAGTGTGACCTGGAGCACTTCTATAGTCAGGTAGTCTGCGCTCCCGTCTATTACTTTGTAAAGCCATAACATCAATAACGTCTTTCATTTCAGTTAAAAAATATTCGATTTATTATGGAAAAACTTTTGCTACTTTCAACATGTAAAACAAACGCTAACAGATTGACATATGTCAAAAATAGCAGCATTTAACAACCGACATGCTGACAACCGTAGAATGTAGACAAAAAAGAAATGAATGTAGAATGTAGATGTTTAAAAACCATAGTCATAGATAACATAAAGCGAAAAATTGACTGTTTGGATTTTTTTTCTATGATCACTCCGCGTAACGTAACAATGCTTTAATGCAATTTTAAAGCAAGCGTTTTTTTTTTAAATAAATCAAAATCAGTTCTATTTATAATTATTATGTTTATTAATTTACAATTATATTATTTCTTACTATTCAAATTGTTTTTAAAATATAAGTATTAAAAAATACCTAAACACATTAATTTACAAAATACCATTCTGGCTACTTCATGAATCGCTATAAAATTATACCAACTTGGTACTCTTTTAGTATGGCATGGCAGGCTATCCTCGTATGTGAAAGCGCTCCTAATCTTTAATATTTTACTAATGCGCTTTTTATATGCTAACAAACTATGTAAATAAATCTTGGAAGTTGGTTTTAATTTACTTCTGCCGTTTTGATTTGAAACTTTATAAGTTTATGTAATTTGGATGAAAGTATAATATTCGGTACCATCTAGCTGATCTAATGATGAAGCCACAAAGTGGATAGTTGAACTATTCGATAGCTATTTTCTAGTAAAACCCGTAGGCTTATGTGTTAAGTTTAAAAAATTATTAGCAATTACCCTACACTTACGGAGACGGAATATTTTCCACAACATTCGTTACCGGTTTTCTTTAATACACATATTAATAAATTTTTTCTTACTGGTCTTTCCTTGGAACACAAATAACTAATTTAAGCTATTCTGCGAGCTATTTTCATTTGCTTAAAATTTAAATAGACGATAGATGGCATTGATCAGCCAACTATCTATTTTATAAATAACTAAACTTAGCCCCGATTCGCTGAAGTCACGTGACTATAGATGTCTAACAGAGTTAGATGTGTAACTATGTGTTACACATGGGTATTTCTGCCCACCTGAGCCTAAAGTGCAGTAATAGACATTTTGGTCGGTTTTGAGTTAATTATATATTCAAAATCCCCATTTTTGTAGCTATCAGTCAAATTAATTCTTTTTTCTGTAGCGCTAATAAAAGTATTTTATTTTAATGTTTTTTCGGAAGGTGTAACAGAAAAAATATCACAAATCTGTTAAAATATTCCATAGCTAAACCGCAGTACAATTAATACTGCACAAGATTTTTCTCTGTTTCCTAACTAAACTGCAGTGTTTTATCATATTTTGTGGCACTTAAAATAGTAGTTTGTTCTAGGAGATTCAAGAAAAAACTTATTAAAATGCAGTATTAACATTCCATACTGCACATTAACTTGTGGGGGATTTTGTAATTTCTTGTGAAAAACTAAAAGACATGCAGTATTTAATAACTTTACTGCAGTTTAACTTGTAGGATGTTTTGTAGTTGCTTGTAAAAGACCATTTAGTTTACAATATTTATAAATTTTACTGCATATTAGTTTGCTCCATCCAAGTCATACTACCTAAAATACTTAAAGTCAAATACTATTCCCTAATACTGCGTTTTAATAGGTAAAATTATTAAAATATTAAAACACAGAACAGGCAATATCGCGGTTTGAGGCAGTCCTTCTGTCTGTCTGTCTCAAGGATCTGTGGCTTAAGGCTGACTTGACATGCCATGCTGTGTCTGTACCAAAGAGATATGGAGGGTAGAACTAAGGAGAACTATTTCTCGTATAAAAAGTGACCGCTGACAAGCATTAAATTGGTGGCGCCACAGAAAACAAGTATATGAATCTATACATCTATACAGATAAATAAAATTGTAGTGTATATAAGTTAACTTCTTGGTTCTCCCTTCCATAATCTTTTCAGACTATTATTTTTGTAAGACAAGAATATTCATAGGGCAGATTTCTCAGAGATTGCGTCCTTCATCTGATTAATCTGGCCAAAAAATATTTTCATTTTTGGCTCTATTCAACATACTCTTATGATTAAAGACATGCCAAATAATATTTGGCAAGTCTTTAATTTAATCGGAGAAATACCCACGTCTAACACTTATAATCCTAATATATTTTAGTACTAAACATCGAAATCCATTTGGCCGTTTTAGTGATGGAGTAACTTACATACCTAAAAACGTTTATGTATGTATAAACTTTCAAAGATTATTTTTATTATTATTTAGTAAGAAAATTATTTTTATTTCGTATTATTATAAATAGTAATTCGATAATAAAAATAAAAAAATCAGTGGCTAATCGTTTTTAACTGTGGTAAAGAACCCAAAGAATTTAACCAGCGCCATCTATGAATACGTAAGTAAACTTATTTATTACCAAAAAACTGATTTTCAATCAACAAGTTCTTCGTAGCAAGATTCTGCGAGCGACTTATTTTTACTTTGATCAACAGTAGTATTGTTTATCTAAGGATTTTTATCAAATATTTTATATTAAGATTCTATCAATCTATCTATATTCTTTGGTTAATAAATAAAAAATAATTAATAATCAATCATTTTAATCATGTGTAACTTAAAAATTTAATTATTTTAATAATATTTTCTGAGAGAAAATCATTTATATTTTAAATTAATGTATTATGTATTGGCTAAATTATTTTAAAAAATGTTTATTGTTAAGCTAACATAAATTTGATCTAAGTATACCCTATTGTCGATTTTAATTACATTATTTATAATAATTTAATTAAATTATTAAAATTAAGGTCTAGGTATATGATAATGATGATGAAGGAAGGATGTAAGGGTAAGAAATAAAACAAACATTATTATTTGAACATAAAAATTAGAATATAATCATTTTCAGTAATTATTTAAAATTATACACTTAAAGTACATTTATAGTAAATTCAATAAAAAATACCAGTGTGCAGACGAGATACAAAAAAGAGAAAAATATTGTTTAATTACATCGTTGGTTAAATATTTCGCTTCAGTAAATGCAATACAAAAAAATATATTCGAAAGTAAAGAAAATGAACGGTTAAAAAGTCACTCGATATAGAAAAATAAAGATAAGATTGAATCACATTCAAAAATTACCCACTAGTGACTAAAAATTTAACTTTCATAAAACGCTAGCTTTCCACAGACGGGAGGCGGCCGGTGGCCTCCGCCGCGTCGGTGTGCGCGCGAGTTAGTCGAGAGCAGCTTGTATACATAGTGAGGTTAGTAGACTTTGGTAATGAGTGAAGCGTGATCTGCGTCCCGCACTGCCGACTGCCCTGGCCCCCGGCCCCCGACCCCGGGCCCCCGGCCTCAGGCCCCCGGGCCCCGGCCCCCGCCGGGGCCTGTGCGTGTCGGTCCGTCGCCGCGTCGCGACGCCTACAAACTAAACGTGATTCGAGCGAACAAACAATGCGGCAGTGTACAAAATTTACATCACATTCACTCGAAACATTAAAGCATACGAGTCGACGCTCGGCGGAGGAACACATCGAAATGCAAAACAGACGGCGTCCAGACAGACGGAGCTCCTCTGCGTAGTACGAAGCTTACCTAAATCATACATCGGAATCGAATGTAGAACTGCGCTAATTATAATCATTAGTTCTGCTTTACATACACATATTGTTACATAACAGTAAAAAACCTACCTAGCAACGTGCGAGCGACCCGCGAGTGAGCCCGCGTCACAGTGTAGGCATTACATTTTCATTTAAGTAATCACTTTTTACATACTCATAGAACATAAAATGAAAACGAATCACCTAACTATGATAATAGTAAAGGTTACTGCCTAATCGCATTATTAATTAATGTTTATTGATACAGTTACTGTCCTAACGCTTAAAAGTAAGATTTTTTATTTTAGTATTAATAATAAATTATGTTATATAGTTTATATATGTATAATGTCGATTACGCCATTTCGCGAGTGTGTACAAGTTTATATACTCACATATCTTACACGGTCACGGCACGTCGCCCCACGCCCACGCCCACGCCCCACACTCACGTGATCGTAACATGTTATCACTTAACTATAAAATTAAACATGAAAGTTACATTTAGTATAAATACGCTAGATAAAATAAATACCTAACATGATTCACAATGCGTATAAGAGTCGATCTTAAATGGCTACATCTTAAGGTTACTGTAAAAGTGATATAGAAAAAATATGAACACAAAAAAAACTATATTATACATATATACTAGAAAACGGCGTAACGAAGTAAATCTCTCTTAGGAATAAGGTTTGTTTGTGCACAGACAGACAGTCCTGAGCGGAGACGCAAGGTATGCGGAACTCATATCTTAACACGAAGTGGGGTACAGTTTGTGCATTCAAAAGTTTATAAAAAAATAAATTTTTCATCAAAGTGATAATACCTAATAATGGAATGATATTCTGTAACAGTTAAAGTAGGCCTGTGTACACTCATGCATCTCACTACTATTCGGAGCTAAATATTGGTTCCATACTGTGTTTGGTCCGTAAGAGAGTGAGTATATAAGCGCCCCCCACGCCTAAGCCGTGACGAGAATTTGCACATCGGCGATATATCCAGAAGCTTAGTTCTCATAAAATTATAAAATATGCGAAACAGCCAACGCCCTCGTTTCGACCGCGGCCCGCGTCGCCATTACGGTTCCTACTAAATGACATTCATTTGAACAGAGTTAAGTAATAGGTAACAGAATCCCAGAAAATGTTCAAAAGACTTCAATTGGGAAATTAAAAGAATTGTTAAATAAGTTTGTGTGCTAAATGCTTATTATACAATCAATGATTTTATAGAAGATGGCACACCTTGAGAATGAAACGATCGCCTCCAGGCTATTTTAATTTTATAGAATACTGTAATTTATAATTATTTAACTTTATAAAAAAAAGATAATGAAATAATATTAGTCCCGCTAAGTTTCTTTCACCAGTTCTTCTCATCTCTGGGGCTTTTTCTTTCCGAACTGGTGGTAGACTCATGACGTTCAGTAAAAAATGTAATAATCTAATGCTGAATAAAATAATAAAACATTTTGAATTTGAATTAGACACTTGGACAAAATAGCGGTGAAGTCGTCAAGACCGGTGGGTCGCGGTCGCTGTGTGATATGCTCGCTAGAGGCTCGCGAAGGCGCTCGACCACAAGAATACATTATGTATATGATAAATACAAAAGAGTCGTCCACCGGCCACCGGCCGTGGGGACGAAATGCGGAGTTTAAATTAAATGCAGCGAATTTCAAACAGGATTGTGACACGAATCTCTTACAGTCTAAATACAAACGCCGTCCCTCGGCGCTTCCGGCGACCGGACGGCGACCGGACGGCGACCGAGCGGCGACCACCGGCGCCCACTCTGAACGAACGGTGTTAAGTATTGAGCCGTTCACTTGTTACTGGCGGTGAGCAGATTCCCTACCGGCAAACCTACATTCAATCATTTATGGCTGGCTGGCTACAATAGATACTGTCTATAAAAGTACATATCAAAGTATCCAAAGACAATATACTAATTAGTACTCGACAGTCCGTTAGTTAGTTCCGAAAGCGGCCACTAAAGAAATCTGACCACCACCAACACGCTCAGTTAAACCCATGCGGTGAGCATTCGACATATTGGATAAACAAATTTGTATTATTACAATGATTATTACGAATACCAAAATCGACGAGACATAGATATTTAATGTGACTTGAAACCAAGCAGTCAAATACCTATATCTATCGAATTACAAATGTCGTTATTATATCGAATAATTTCATATTAACCAATATGGTGTGTACATCAATAAGTATAGTATAGAATACCGCACGGCACGGGCGTGTGACGCGGAGTGGCGCCGGTGTCCAGGGCTGCCAGTAGAGCCAACTTATTTTATACCGCTGGCTCACTCAAATTATACCAAATCAAATTCTATTACACAAATTAACAAAACTGTTGAAAAATAGTCTGTGATGAATAAAAAAATCAATAAAAATATATGAAAATATATATATAAAATAATTTACAATTGTTGTATCCAATTATACGATCTGGCAGCCCTGCCGTGTCGCCTGCAGGTGTGTGCGTCTAGTAGAGGCCGCAGCCGCGCAGGTTGTTGGCGATGATGACGTCGGTGACGGCGTCGAACACGAACTGTATGTTGTTCGTGTCGGTGGCGCACGTCATGTGGCAGTATATCTCCTTGGTGGTGGACTTGTTCTTCGCCTCGAACTGAGCTTGGATATAGGCGGCCGCCTCGCCGTATTCTTGCGCACCTGCTCGTCATTATTACATATTCATATATACTAATATTATAAAGAGGTAAAGTTTGTGAGTCTTTGACGTTGTAGGGGATAATCTCTGGATCTACTGAACCGATTTAGATGAAATTAGGTAAGAAGATAGTTTGAAGACCCTGGGAAGGACATAGGATACTTTTTATCACGGAAATCATCTCTTAAGGGGGTGAAAATGGGGATGAAAGTTTGTATTGGGAAACAAGCTAGGGACGAACCCGAGAGAAGCGAGGGTGAGTCGCAAATCATTTATATACAAAAACTCAAGATACATTAACATTTCAAAAGTGTCCGCAGAAAGAAGCGCACAAATCGAAACTGGATTGCGCTTTTTTTAAATTTCTTTTGTTTATTGCTTTTCGGAGACATAATTAAAACGCATCGCGTTGTTTCGTTTAAAAACCTACTTCATGTAGTGTGTGTAAGTTGATTTTTTAATTTTCTTTGGTTTGACTTAACGTCACACGTCGACGCCACTTTTTGAACAGATATTTGTTAGGAAATGTGTATCTATGTTTTTACATATCAATGATATAAATATTAAAAATATTTACCTAGGTGCCCTAACCTCCTATAAAACCCTATGTGATCCTCCTGGTACATCCACAGTCTATTTGTGTACTAAACTAAATCCGTCTAGCTGTGTCATTGTGAACGATTAACAAACATACACTCATATGAACATTTGCTTAACAATAGTAGCTTGATAAAGAAATTTAAATTTAAAATTTAGTTGTATTTCAAAACTGTTGGTTCATATAGGATATGTATAGATATAGCTTAAAAATTTCAAGCTATCTTAAAGATACTCTTAATCAATACATATATCTATTGCACAAATTTGAAAAAAAATATCTTCACCCGCTGTGAAATACAAACTAATACAACATCAACTTAGCCTTATCACTTATATACCATGATGCAAGGAGGATTTCACCAAAATTGATTTATATATAAAATCTGAACACAAAACCTGAGTAACCTTCTCCATCCTATGTGACAATGGCAAAAAATGGTAATCTGTGCTCAAGTGGCATGCCTTGAAACCATCAACAAAAGAATTGAAAACTCGAGTGAAACAAGAAAGTTTATACACAAACCCTAACTACATAGTAAACCTAACTAAATTCTAACTAAATCCATACCCGTGTACTCTGGGAAGCAGATGGTGAGCGGGGACTTGCGTATCTTCTCCTCGAACAGATCCTTCTTGTTGAGGAACAGGATGATGCTGGTGTCCGTGAACCACTTGTTGTTGCAGATGGAGTCGAACAGCTTCAGACTCTCTTGCATGCGGTTCTGTAATATTAACAGTATATGGTTTAAGTATATTTTAGATTCAAAATAAATAAATAATTTGCTTTGTATTACATTTCTAAATGACTGATTTCAGTACAACTGTAGCTACATATTACAATTAATTATTATTAATAATAATAATGTGAAACGTTACGTTTCACATTATTATTATTTATAGTGGAGTGGAGTAAATTTAGAGTAGATATACTCTACTACTACTGGAGTCATATTAATATTATGTAAATATCTAGTTCATATAAAATTTGAAGAACATTAGAGAAGTGAGGGTGGCTAATGAAATATGTACTGAAATTATTAATATTTGACACAATCAATTGTTCTAATATATTAAGGGGTAATATTTTGATAACCATGAAGTTACAAAGTTATCAATATATTGTTGTAATGATCTACATTATTTTTTTTTGGTGAACAAAATCAAAAGAAAACTAGCTAAGATATATCTCGCTCGTAAAAGATGGATACTGTAGCACCGTAGCAGTCAATTGTAGATATTTAAAACAACTATTTTTAAACTGGAAGGTTGTTATACTAAAAGTATTCAAAATAAACCCAAATTACGAATGAATAAATTGAATTCGGTGAGCGTGAAGGAGAAAAAGTTATCACAATTGGGTTACCGTAACAAAAACACAACACTGATAACTATTACAACTGAGAAGAATATAATTGCTAAAATATGTAATAAAAATGTTATTGAAATAGACATTGTTATCGATATAGAAGCCGAATCTACAGTTTTTAGAATTTTTGTCTGTCTGTCTGTCACCGTATCACGGAAAAACCACTGGAGGGACTTTCATGAAATTTGGTGCGGTTTGGTCTGGTTATCCGGTTAAACATATAGGATACTTTTTACCGCGGGAAAATATCTCATTTCTGAGAAAAAATACAAAAACTGCATTGTAAGAGGTAAAACCTAAGAACTTGGTTTTTGGTAATCTGAACGCGGGCGGAGCCGCGGGCAATGCTAGTGTAATATACTTTAAAATGAACTTTATTTCTATTGTTTTTTAACATGTAAGGATAAGAATAATTTTATATATATACACTATTTACCGTTTTGTTATATTTTATATTTTAAATAGTATATTTAAGAAAGTTTTTCAAATATTAAAATAAGTACGAAGCATTAAAAATGTTTCTTTTCTTATTTTATTATGTGTCTCTTCATAAATACAACATAATGGAGATATGTGGACAACATTGTGTCCGTAACTGGTATCTTAACGAGATATAGATGCATACTTCTAAGATAACAAGATAAGGTAAATATGAACGAACAATACACAAAATAGTTAAAACTTTTTAATTTTTAGTTTTTTACATCTACTACTGAAAGTAGTTATCAGCAGTTTGTTTAAATTTTATACAAAGAAATGTAAATAGCATTACTTTTAAAAACATTATAGGATGTTTGTATGCATAAGAACTTGAATAAAAATTATATTTTAGACATGAATATTGTAAATAAATGTCCGTCACGTTCTCATGTTATGCTATAGAATAATTCTATTCTAATTTCTAATGTAGAGCTCAATTAAGAAGTCATTAATTTTTCGTCATTGCCTCCTTCTCTATATTCTATTATAGACTATATATTATTAAAATCCATACTGATATTATAAATGTGAAAGTGTGTTTGTTTGTTTGTTTGTTTGTTTGTCTGTCCTTCTTTCATGTCGAAACGGAGTGACGGATTGGCGTGATTTTTTGCGTGGAGATAGTTGGAGGGCCGGAGAGTGACATAGGCTACTTTTTACCGCGGGAGATTATCTCTTTCCCACGGAAAAACACGTTATAATACAATCCAAAAAAATATTATCATCAGAATTACTTGAAATTTGGTATTAATGCTCTTCAATACAATTTAATACGTGTTTTAGCATTTTTCGAAATTTATCCCATAAGGGGGTAAAATAGGGGATGAAAGTTTGTATGAAACTACCTCTTTAGAGATTTTTGTAGTTATAGCGCGAGCGAAGCCGCGGGTTTTGCTAGTATATTATAAATGTATCACATATATAGATGATTAACGAATATAGCAATGACGAAAAATTAATGACTTTGCTTAATTGAGCTCTACATTAGTTGTAGGATAAATTAAAAGTTATCCTACTACTAAGTTTCACTTTATTGTTGAATACACATATGTATTAGCAAAATTAGAATTATTCTGTTGTTTCCGACACCTTCAGACATAAATGATTAGTCACATCTAAAAAAACATGGATTTAACCGTTTTCAAAAAAGGAGGATGAACTCAATTCATTTGTTCATTTTTTAAGTATGTTACACGATATCTTCACCAAAAACCACAATATAAGAAATAACATATATTAATGATTTTATAACAACATGATAAAATATATTAATTCAATACAATTTTATCTATTCGAAGCCAACTGTAGAATGATATCTTTTCTAAGCTATTTAGTACAAAGTATTTTTGTAGTGTCAATGTAACATTTAGGTATCTCACCGTAGTCTCGTCCTCATGCAACACCTGGTCGTACTCGGACATGGCGACGCAGAAGATGATCGCGGTCACGTCCTCGAAGCAATGGATCCATTTCTTCCTCTCCGACCGCTGGCCGCCCACGTCGAACAATCTGTGTGGGCGTTCAGTTACAATCAATCAAATTAACTAGAATTTTCTGGAAAAGCTCGATTAATTTGAGTAAATTGATTACGTCATAACGTTGTGGGTCGGAAAGGTCAAGTGTTAAGATTCTATTTAAGAGCTGATTGTGATCTCTTGTAGTTTACAGTCTTGGAAACAGGTAGGGGGTTATCATTACGGATGTGTATATCATGTATGTTACATACTACATCTCAGCTTCTTCGCTTGTGAACCGATTATAGACTTTTCTGAGAATGATTCCATATAAATAAATAAAAAATTACATCACTAGGGTGAAATAATTTTAAATATTATTAGCAGCACTGAAATCCATTTAGCTTATAGCATCATAACAATATTAAAAAGTTAAAAAATAACTTATTGATGTAAATTAACAAGTTATTTTTTCAAACCATATAAAATGTTAAATAGCTGTGATATATTTCTTTTTTCTTGTTTATATTATCATACATACACTGTCGGATTTTGTGCAAATAGCAAATTAATTCACTTGAATAGTCAATTCATTGATTTCTAATCTGTCGTTAGCATAACATCTATAAAAATATGTAAAATTATTTAAATTAGAATAATTTCACTGAGCAAAACTTACTTGAAATTAAGGTTTTTGAAGGAGAAGTGCACTTCGACAATGCCGGTGGTTTTGACTCTGGTTCTTAAAATATCTTGTTCGGTGGGCTGGTAGTCTCTAGCACCTAACCGGTCGAGATCATCCAGGAAACTGTAATGAATTGGGAAATAATATTAAATTCAAAATATATATTACTTTATCAACAAAAACAAATCTATCCCACGGGAACCGTACATTTTTCCGGAATAAAAAGTAGCCTATGTGCTATTCCGAAATCCAAACTATAAGCAATCTCTGTTCCAAATTTCATCCAGATCCGTTCAGCCGTTCTAGGGTGATCGAGTAACCAACAACCATCCACACATCTAAACTTTCACATTTATAATATTAGTAAGATTCAATCGCGATTTTGAATATTTAATAGTGAGTTTGGCACTAATCGATTGTATAATAACAGTATTGTCTTTTACTCAGAATAATATGAACAAAAACAAAGAGTAAATAGACTATAAACATCAAGATCTGCAAAACTCATTAAGAGATAGGCAAAGATAAAAAATAGGAAGTTTTATCAAACTTATTCTAGTGCAATGCTTATATTTCGCACTTGTGAAATGTTCATTACATTTCCATCTTTGTATAAACGAATGCGAAGCATTACTAATAAGTCATTATAGAAAAAAAGGTGCGATCATGGTTGCGGCCTGTTAGTGACTCATTAACTAACGTACACGAGATCGATCGTTCGTTATGACCTAATGGTTAAAATATTATAAATATTCCTGCCACTTTACAACTCCCAGTTAATTTATTATGAGCAACTGTCAGTATGACCAATCATATTTAATTAAACAAAATAATCAAACAACATATTCACTTAAAAATTATATAAAATAACGTCGCAAAAAAGGTACGTGATGGTGATTTTTAAATTATTACGTTTGAAATCACATGTGATTATGCAAGTTATTAAGGAAACAATATACATGTGCCCGAGTTAATTAGTCTCGATATAGCTCTGTTATATTGCACCAAGGTAATACTAATATAATCGAGTCAATTGGGTTACTCATGTTACAGTACCAGTGCGAGGCATTCCGAGACTCTTATAAGACAACATACCTAACTTGGAAGATGTTTGTATTCTTCCGACGCGACATTTTGATTATATATATATATATATATATATATATATATATATATATTATGAATATTAAACATTATAAATATGAGTACAGATAATATTTTAAATAATTTCATTTAAATTAAGTGAAAACTCTTAAAATATAACTTATTTAAATCATTTGCTTTGAATTGAATTTTAAAATAAAATTTCAAATTCTTATATCAAATTTTGAACTAATATACGCTAATAAATATTATTGTTACTAATTAAATACCATTATTTATAACTGTAGTTGGGCGTTAGTTTTACAAATCAATATCACCTACATACAGTTCGCACTAAAGCTTAGTCATGGGGTTTTCCTTAGCTCATGTGAAATTAAACGCCCTGCAGGCAAATGTTTAGTTTCCAACAATCATACATAAGTGGTTGCCTCGATTTGAAATATAATAATATATGTAATATATTTTTGCTGGAATAATAAATATTGACTTAACTCATGACATTTTTCTTAGCCTTTTCCACTAGTAAAAATAAATAATATTCCGCTTTCCATTACTAATTGTAAGTATTAGACAAACAGTTAAAATTGAAAAACAAAGCAAATATAATATCTTATTCACTAATTGAGTACGCATTAGTGTCTGTATGAAGACGGGTTAATATCGGTACGCCACCAGTTGCAAACGGCGACTCCAAGGCGGGGCGTCGGCATAGCATACATATTAACGAGTTGGAACCGACCAGACAACACGCGATTCTTGAATAAATATTATATACAGGAACCTCATACAGCCGGTAGGTAGCCTACAAATTACAGCTAATGTTATCGAACTGGATTTCCCTTATTTTCTTTTGATTTTGACAGATTTATTGTGTACAACTCCTTAATAGTTACATAATTTTTTTTTATTTAATCATTTATTTCAGGCAATATTTACAAAAAGATTTTAAATATGTAAACAGAGGCCCATAGCATAATATACACCTTAAAACGAACATACATAATATATATTAATTATAACTTTTTAACACGTAGTCCAGACGCGTGAGCTGTGTCGGCGGGCAAACGACCTCGGAACTTCCGAAACACGACGCCCTACGGCCAGAAGTCCTCCTTCATGAAGGTTGGCAGATGATGAGTCGGCACTCTCACCAAAAACGAATTGAAGCTCGTTTTGTGGCGAGGTACCAGCCGTTCAACCTTCAATTTGAAGTTGGGCCTCTTCTGGACGTAGTCAACGACATCCTCGACCTTCGTAGACCAGTGCAATCGGGACACATACGGCGGCGTCGATGGTATGGCAGGACGCATCGGATGGTCTGGCTGGTTCGGAGCTGTGCCGCAGATGTTAGGGCATGAGAGCTTCGTCTTCTTATTTTGACGAAAATAAGAAGACTATGCCCTCATACCCTCAAATAGATGACGAGTTTGCTGCTATGAGTCACTTGTGCTACGCCGGATCTTGTTTCTTAGAAATTATTAAAGTATAGACTAGCGACTCACCCTCACTTCGCTCGGGTTCGTCCCTAGGTACGTTCTAACTATTAGTATGGAATAGATGAACTATAGGTATTATATATGTATGTACATACTCGTATATAGATACGATGAGTATGATGATTTATTAATTATTAATATTGTATTATGGACATGGATTTTACTACTAATAGAAGAACTTACATTTAGTAACATACATACTATACACTATATACATTTTTCATTATATTTGCATGTTGTAAAGGTACATAATTTCGATTCCTGGATCACGCCACTTATAATAATTTCAACTAATATATAAGAGATATTTAATATGAATAGCGAAAATATTAATAAAATTCACATCGTAACTATTGGCGACCTAGAGACGGACACAATGAGAGTTTATTAATCGTGTGAAAGGCCAGCACAAGGTACCTACCTGTAATCGGCGACCCAAATGAAACTACATATATCCGACACACGCAAACTTTTCGTGCAGTACTAACACTATTGAGGCAATTACGTGTTACATTATATAATAAAGCTTTCATATTTTACCAAGAAGTGCCAATAAAATCGGTTTAAGTAGAGTTCAAATAATAAAGTAAACTAGGTATAAAACATGTCCGTATTGATTGACTGACTTATCGTACAGATCAAACCGTTGGACCTAGAGGGCTTACTAACAGGTTCATATAATAGTTATATTAAGAATTCTCAGACATCCAAACCTTTATGATAAAATTTAAGGAAAATCAATCTGCTTCTGGCTAAATTTAATAAAATCTTAGTAATATTTTATTCGTTATAAGTAAATAAACAAGTCTCAGTTTTTACGGGAATACTAAAAAAAAACAAACACCGACAAATCACAAAACTGTGAGATGTTACTAGTATACGCATTAATAATTCAAGCTAAATTCTATTTCCATTCCAGACAATCAAATTTCTTTGTTCAATGTTCACCGTTCACGATTTACGATCAAGGGCGATTGCAAGTCTAGGCTACACAACAGCTGGCTACCAGCCAAAAGGCTAGACCCCAAACTAAACGGACAACGCTGATATAACATGTCAGGGTTGTAAAACAAAAGAGCGCAACAGTGTCCGAAACCATTGCGATTTTTCACGTAAGTTACTTTGGTCTGCATTGATTTTGGTATATATTTTCTATTCTAAAACAATATTGTGTAGAAAATTAAAAGGATTTTGCCATATTTAGTAATCTATTATTAAATTGTAACTATGTAAGTCGAATCTGAACATTAAATATTTTTAGAAAAATCTTATTGAAATAGACATTATTATCGATACATAGGCCGAATCTATAGTTTTTAGAATTTTTGTCTGTCTGTCTGTTACCGCATCACAGAAAAACCACTGAAGGGATTTTGATGAAATTTGGTATGGTGATAGCTGGTTATCCGGGACAACATACAAGATACCCTTTAACCCTGGGGAAAATGTCTCATTTCTGAGAAAAAATACAAAAACTGCAATGTATGAGTATACTAATATGTAAAACCTAAGAATTTTCTTTTTGGTCATCTGAACGAGGGCGGAGCCGCGGTCAATGCTAGTACTTAAATAAAAATGACCTTTTACATTTTTAACATAATGTTACCGTATAAAAAAAATTGGTCCAAATGGGCCCATGCCTAAGTTGAAAATGACCAACGTTATTCACAATACATAGTTTGCCACACACATTTGCATCTTAGTCCACTCTGCAATACGCTGAAAGCGAGAGCTTCAAGTGGCGTCGAGGGTTTTAATGTTAGTAGTGGCTCGTTTGGACGCCTGCCAGCACAAAGACCCATTATACTTATTATACAGGAAAATTGGTACACTATAGACTTGGAATATCTTTGCTTAATTGCTCTTAATACTTATACCCCACGGATATTGCGTGAAAAACCCCGAAACGTTTTAATTCAATATAAAAAAAACGTGTATGTACTTATGTAAGAAGTTATACTTCTTTGGCATAACAGAACAAAAATAGCTAAATAAATAGATTTAAATAAGAAATAAATTTCACCACACATGTAATGTGTCACAATTCTGTAAAAGGCATGATAAATTAATAAAATAATTAAATAAGGCATATTAGACATAATACAATCATATACATATTTATAGAATATCGTTTAAGGAAAGAACATATATTATATATCATTTGTCAGACAATAACAACGGTTACCATGACATAAACAGTTATCAGCTTTCATCATGTCGATTTTTGGCTGTCGATGTCCGCGTAAAAATTCTCGTACAACATCGTAAAAATTCTACTCTCATAATTTTTTCCAAACATGCCAAAAGAAGAATGACATCAAAAAAAAGTTTATTTCATTGTAACCATAGGAAAAGGTTGCTAATGGTTTAATCAGTGATTAATAATATAATAATTTCAATTGCAAAACCAAAATTCAAATAACTTACGGCAGTTACAGATGAAATCTTGTTTATATTTAAAATTAATCATATTAACAGTTCGTAGTTACGCTTGTAAGATTTGTATACCTATCGTAGGCGTTGAATATTCTAAGCGGCGGGTGTATTATGCGGCTCTTTTTCGCCGGTCGTGGTTCGCTGACGTCAAGACAGTGTCAACATTAAATGGGTCAGTAGACGAGGATGAATTACATTCGTATTAGCCAAAATTATATACGATCGGGACAAAATGTTAGAATTTGGCAGAAAAATAGAAAAGGGTAGGTGTACCACAATAATATCTATACATATAATAAAATTGTAACTAAGCCAAATCTGTACATTTAATATTTTTTTGGAAAATCTTATTAAAATAGACATTATTATCGATACAGAGGCCGAATCTATAGTTTTTAGAATTTTTGTCTGTCTGTCTATCTGTCTGTTGTCGCATCACGGAAAAACCACTGGAGGGATTTTGATGAAATTTGGTATTGTGATAGCTGGTTATCCGGGTCAACATATAGGATACTTTTTACCGCGGGAAAATATCTCTTAAATCTAAATCTTTAAAAATGTATTAACTAGCGGAACCCGCGGCTTCGGCCGCGTTCAATGTGCAGATGTAAACTCCTTGACTTTATGTTGTATAAATGTTATGAATGTGAAAGTTTGTGAGTATCTATGGATGTTTGTTACTCGATAAATGGTTATCATCCAGCTTTAATCATGTAAAATGTGTTAAGTAACATGAAAATGTTACTTTTTTTGTTTATTTTTTAATACTTATTATCCTATTCCGGACTAAGAGAAATGGTCCAGCCGTTCTTGAGTTTTATGTCACGTCACACGGGAACGCAATCGAACAGGATAAAAAGTATCCCATGTCCGTCTCCTGGGTCTAAGCTACTTCCCCACCAATTTTCAGCCAAATCGGTTCAGCCGTTGTTGAGTTATAAATAGTGTAACTAACACGACTTTCTTTTATATATATATATATATATATATATATATATATATATATAGATTATTATGGTGGATGTTCCGTCTAGTTCAGAGTTCTGCTAAAATGTCCATGGGAGAAACATGCTCTCTTAAGTCTATGCCTGCTAATT